AAGATTGCCATCTCTTGTTCATAAGATCATTGTAAATCATAGTCGACTTAATGGCACCTACCAATAATAATACCTAGGGATCTCTGGTGGCCTAGTGGCAAGAAGCTGCACTGCAGTCCCAGAGGCATGCGGTTCGAATCCACCAGATGCTCTGCTGGAGAAGGAGGGGAAATCTCCTCCTTTACCAGTTAGATCTAACTTGACGGTACATGAACAAAAATAACAAAATTTTTTTAAAAATCCAACAATAACATCTGCATTGATCTGGACAATCACAGACTGATTTTAGAAGTCTGTGTTGATTAATGAGCCCTTGATTGGTCCATAGGTTAAGCCAATGATAAATACCTGGTTTCTAAGCTTCTGTTCTAATGGAAGATGGTGTTGAACAGCTGACTGCAAGTTATTTTCCTGTAAGCATCTTTGTCGTTTTTCTAGCCCAGCCTGAGTCGACATTCTGTTTCCTATTGGGGCTAACCACTGTCTCCTCAGTCTTTTCTTGAGACCATGCACACATTGTCCTCTTAATAGTGAGTTTAGGAATTATTTTTTGTTTGCATGCCTCTTTCTTTTTTTAAATTATGAGTTCCCTTTGGGTAGAGTCTGTCTTCATTTCCTAGCATTGTCATAATAAAGTACCACAAATTGGGTAGATTTAAAGGACCAACATTAATTTTCTTACAGTTCTGGATACTTTCAACTCTCATGTATCTTTGAACCTTCATGGAAAAAAAGCAATCAAACAAAATGGACTCACACTAAAATATACCTGCTATGCCCCAGACATGTCCCTCCCTGGCTTACACCTTGATCAAAGATGGGAACTAGAAATGATATTTGGGTTGATGAGTTCACAGAGAGGCAAATTATGGCAAGACACACTGATAGTAGGGTGATGCTTGAGCTACCGAGTCCTCAAAAAAGGGCTGAAGGAGGCTTATCTGGCATTAACTGGTTTTCAATAGCTAATGTTTTTTGCATCCCACCTAACAGACAAGTATGAGATCAGTGGAAAAGAGGGAAGCCTTCAATGAGATAAATTGGCAGAGTGACTGCAACAAGGCCCTCCAATGTAACCATGATTACAAGGCATGTGTAGTGGTTTCCTCTGTTACATACAAGGTTGCCATGAGTTGGAACAGACTCTGTGGACCTAATGACAACATACTGTCAAGAGGCTTTTGCCTTGATTGGAGTTGGAATATTCATGTTTGTTTATTTCAAATTATTTTTCATTAGTTTTTGATCATTACACTGATGTCCTCATTCAAATACCATTTTATGGTTTGGTTTTGTTTATTGTGGTTTTTGTTGCCTTTTAGCCCTTCTTTATCTTTTTCTGTGAATTCTCCTGCTTCAAATGTTTACACTGAAAGTTGGCCTTGGTCCTTCAGGGGCCCCTAAAGAAAGACTAGTCATTCTAGTCTTCTAGCCTTGGGAATAGGGGTATGCACCAAGTTTGTGAAACAGTCAAGTTGACAAGTCATAAGAAAAAGTAAAGTTCTTGTTGACATCATCTGACTGAATGATGTTGACTTCCCCATGCTCCACCTCCCACTCCTTCACATGGCATTCTGGTGCCAAAAGAACTTGAGAGACTAGAGAGTTGATCTTAGAAGTATGTTCAGGATACTTTTAAAATTAATCAATCATATGCCATCAGATAAATGCTTTATAGGAATGCCCCAAAAATTTCACATTGGTAGAAGACACTCTATTGCTCGCAATTGGGCATTTACTTCAAGTAACTGAGTGTGAGTATAAACATACAATTCTACTATTAATGATCTTGTAACTTTATGTGCCATTGAGTTGACTCATGGCTACCCTATGAACCCTTGTCCCATCCTGTGCAATTCTCATGATCTCTGCCACTCTCTAGCTTATTGCTTCAGTCATTGTGTCAATCCATCTCATCGAGGGTCATGCTCTCTTTCCGGACTCTACATTTCCCAGTATGATGTCTTTTCCCTGAAACTACCTCTCCTGATAATATGGCCAAAGTATGTGGTAAGAAGTCTCACCATTCTTGACCCTAAGGAACACTCTGGTTGTGTTTCCTCCAAGACAGACTTTTTAGTTTTTTGGCAGTCCATGGCATATTCTATTGTCTTTGCCAACAACACAATTCAAAGACATCATTTCTTTTTCTGTCTTCCTTATTCACTGTCAAACTATCAGATGCATTCAAAACAACTGAGGAAGGTCTCATTGCTTAGATCAGGCAGAATATAGTTTTTAAATTGATATCCTAATTCGTTAGCACTTTGGAGAGTTCCTTGACAGCAGATTTCCCTAATGTAACACATCTTTTGATTTCTTGTTTGCGGCTATGTTAGATTTTGATTGTGGGGATTCAAGTAAAAGAAAATCAGTAACAACTTCACACTTTCTTCATCTATCACAATGTTGCCTATTGGTCCAGTGGTGAGGATTTTTGTTTTTTTGATATTGGGATGTAATCTACATTGAAGGCTGTAGTACTGGATCTTCTGCAGTAGGTGTTTTAAGACTTCTTCACTTTCTTGCATGCATGTTTAACTCATCTTTATAAGGCAAGTTCTTCCCCCCCTTTTTAATTGAGATTTTAACGAATGTTTATAGAGAACTTGGATTTCCGTTCATTCATTGTTTTTCTCCCTGCCCACCCCTAGCCAGTTTGCCTTTCTCTTTGGAAAAAAAAAACACAAAACTTTCATTGTTGTACAATTCCCCATCCCCACCCCAGTCCACTTTACTATGCAGCTCTTATTTTGGACTGTTATCATACAAATAATATGTAATAATACATTCCTTTTAAGCAGTTCTTTCCTTCATTTGTTTCCATGCCACGTACATTATTTATCTCTTTTCTTAGTTTCTCCCAATTCCAATGTCAGTCTTGTTTTACAACAGTGTATTATGCAGTATTTGTCCTTTGTGATGGAGATATTTCACTCAATAAGGCAAGTTCTTGCTGAGTCTTTCTCCAATCCTGAGACCACATTTATTTTCATACTGTTCTGTTTCTTGAATGATTTGTTCAGCATACAAGTTTACTGGATATAGAGAAAGAACACAACACTGAAATGAACCTTTCTTGGTTTTGAATCATGCAGTGTTCTCATTTGTTTTGACAACTGCTTCTTGATCTATATGTATGGGTTATATATGATCTATGTATGAGGTTACATATGAGCATAATTAAGTGTTCTGAAGTTTCCACTCTTTTCAATGTGATCCATAATTTATTATGATTCACAGAGTCAAATACCTTTTCATGGTCAATAAAATACAAGTAAACATCTCTCTATTATTCTCTACTTTCAGTCATGATACCTCAGACATCAGCAATGACTTTCCTTGGGCCAAGGCCTCTTCTGAATCCAGGTTGAATTTCTGGCTACTTGCTTATTTTGTCACTCCTACCTGTAAGCTCTGTAAGCGTAGATGCATGTGTGTATCATGTATTTGCAGCATATAAAGTAGGGTTTGGCATACAGATGTTAAAAAAATTTGTGGAATAAGTGAATGTCACCCTATTTATATAGTCACAGGAGGACTAAAACAAACACAAAGACATAGCTGACCCTCCAGTGGGTTTTCAGAGGCTATAAATTAATTGCATGGGAGGAGTGTCCGTTTTTCTCCCAACAGAGAGGTTGGTGGATCCACAGAACATGGCATTGCAACTCCTTGCCACTAGCCTACCTATTCGGCCTCTTTTGAGCCATGCTGCCTAACTTCTCAGAAATGGTTATTTTTGTGTGATTCGGTCTGTTGGAGATGATGAGATTGGCTCAGGATAGGGCAGCTTTCAGAGCTAATGTACATAGGGTTGCTTTGAGTCACAGGCAACTCAACAGCACATAACAACAATAGAACTTTTGTGGAGGTGCAGTAATAGAATAATAAACTGTTTGGATGAGTATTTTATAGTTAAATGTCTATTTGGCCCCTTCTCATCCTAGAGCTGTTTTTTTGTTTGAGCCATCTCTTAACTCTCCTTCCAGTCAGCATTTCCTAATCAGGGTTTCTTTTTTGTGAGAAAATGGGGGGGGGGGGAGGAACGAACCCTTTTGCAATTATTCTTTTTCATGACAGAAACACAACCACAAGGCTCATAGGTGCAGATGAGCAGGAACTAGAGGGCAGAAGACCTTTCTTAAGCACTGCCAATTGCTGACTACTTGGAGGGGCAGCTGCAAGAGTGAAATCTAGAGATGTGAGGTATAGGAGAGAGGAGGGTGGTGTAAGGTGATGTTTTCTTAATCGTTTAAGAAATAAACACTTAAAATGAGGAGTGGGCTCGGCCTCAGCAGAAGGGAAGTGTGATCAACCAGTCGTGTATACAACTCCTTCCCGATTCCTTCAGACAAGAAGACACAAAAGAAGACCAGAAATAGGTAGATCGGGATGTAAAGTTTATATACAAGAATATAATGTTTATCTGAAATATTTACAGTGTTGATTAAAGCAATATTTTTACAACTTTTGAAGGTAAACTACTATGTATTTTACAGGCACACTACAATGGTTTAATTTGCAAAATTAGGTAAAAAAATGTTTTAGACAAAGCTTAAGATACTCAGGTCAATTATAAAATTCATCAGTTTTAGCCTTTAATTTGAAGAAACCATACTAGGAATAATGGTTAATGTGCTTTTCCTTTCTTTCTTTTAATCAGTCGAAGTATTATAGCCAGAAATGTGATACACGCAACAGTTACAGGTTGTAAAATGACAAGTGAACTGGTAGTATAAGACTTAGACAGAGAGTCTTAGGCTGGAGCTGAGAGGATGTTGAGATAACAGCCAGCTTTATCTCAACGGGTTTGTGGCTCACAACTGTGTGGGCCACACAGAAAACCCAAGTGGTTTGCAGATTATGGCAACCTCGATGAAAGTGAAAACAAAACAAAACAAACCAACAACTGATCCACGCAGGGGGGTGGGTGGGTAAGGTCAGACCCAAGTCACAGTTGCATCTATTCAACACTAGTTTTAAAGTGAGCTATATTAAAACTTCATAAAAATATTTATGATTTTATTTGAGTATGCCTACAAGGTTTGAGTGAGTTTTTCCTTTAGGTGAAAACAGCCATCCTTTCCTGGGGTCTTATTACTCAGGAGATGCTGGGGGTGCAAACGTGCAAAAGGCAGGGGGCAGCTCCAGGCTGAGGCTGGAGCCGCAGGGACTGCGTTTGGGAATGAGAGTCGAGTCCCGGGGCAGAAATGGTGAGCCGAGCTGGGGACCCGGCCTGTCAGGAGCAAGCTGGGCTCCCGAACTAGCACTGCAGCTTGCGGATGCTGCGCGAGATGCGCTTGAACTCTCGCTGGCCCTTCTGCCACCGCTTCACCGAGGTGATCACCAGCTCGCCACCTTGCTTCTGTCCCATGACCAGATACGGTGCATTGATGTCGTTCATCTCCTCACAGGTGCACTGCAAGCTGTCTTTCAGCCACAGCACTGACTTCTTCAGGTCCCGTTCAGACACACCATTCAGCTTATAAATGGTCTTGCTCTTGGTCTCCAGGATGATTTTAGTATCCCGGTTGATATAAGTGATTTCCTTCACTTTTATTTTCAGCGCTAAGAAGACAGGAGAGGGTAGACAGAATCATACCAGTTATAATAGGGGAAAACACTAAGTGGGAGCCCCGGTGGTAGAGGTTGAGGGCTCTGTTCTTGACTGGAAGTATAGTGGTTTGAACACACAAACAGATTCTGCAGGAGAAAGATCTGGAAATCCGCTCCTGTAAAGATTACAAATTAGGAAAGCCCTATGGGGAAGTTTTACGCTGTCACATAGGATCAGCATGAGTTGAAATAGACCCCATGGTTTCTAGCAATGAATTGCGAGCTTCCTTCACTCCACTCTACTTCCCATTTGTATGACTTGGCCTGGAGGAGGGAAGACAAGCTATGCAATTGTCAGAGGCTGCACATAGGGGTTTGGGGGGCCGGGGGCAGCAGGTGGCTCCATTTCTAAAGGCTCAAAGAGTTTGTCAAGGCACTTTGTTTTAAATCAGCCATCCTTTCAAAATGCTTTCTTTTTTTGCAGGACTCAATTAACTTTTCTTTCTTATTTCCTTGCCCTTGTGTTTTTACCTAGGTTACATGTGGTTCCCTGCTCTCCTCGACAAATGACTTCCACGATTGGAAACTTTAGCATGAAAAGAAATGCCTGACTCTGAGGTGAAACATGATCCTTCTGTGGCTGTAAACTTTAAACTCAATTTATTACGTCGGAGAGGTTTTTGGACAAACCTGTAAGGAAATTGTATTACATAATCATTGTTTTCTAAAGAACAGATTACAGGGAAGGAGAATTGATCTTACAGCTGCATTTGATTTGGTAAAGTAACTGGGAGAAAAAAAAATATGCTCAACTCTTTTTAAAGAGCACAACTTGTTTAGCTGTAAAAGTGTTTTTCTGAATACCTCACCCTCGTATGTTATCATTTTCCTGTCCAAGGCCAAGGCGTTTATAGACATATATGTACTGTTTCCAAAATGTATATGTAAACTCATTAGAACGCTAAGACCAAAAGTAAGTGGTTTACTATAAAAGACACATTTTACAGCTATGAATAGTATTCTTTGAGAAAGAAAACTCTGCAAACATGGACATTGGAATTAAATTTCAAGACTCTACGAAGGCAGGGAAAGGATTGCATTTTAAGGTTGGAAAGGACCATCCAGTTAAAAACTCTTGTTTAATACATGAAGAATCTTAAGTAGAGATATGTTTAATGATTTATGAGGGGGTCCTAGTGGAGCAGTGGTTAAGCACTTGGCTATTAACCAAAAGGTCAGCAGTTCAAACCCACCAGACACTCCACATAAGATGTGGCACTCTCTTTCTGTAAAGATTACAAGTGTGGAAACCTTACGTGGTAGTTCTACTCTGTCTCACAGAGTTGCTATGAGTTACAATAGACTTGACACCAACAGGAGGCAAAACCCCCAATCTAGTCATATACAGATGTGCATGCAACCTAAGTACTAATTTGAACAATACATTGTTTACCATCAAGTTGTTTACAAGGTGAAATAGTGTAAAACTACAGGACAGTGTAAAACTGCCTTGGATGCTTAGCAAAGCTACAATCTTCTAGAAGTGAATAGTTACCCCTTTCTCCTATGGAACATCTTCTGTGTTTGAAAGATTGACCTTCTGGTTAGCAGGTGCGTGTTTTAACTACAAGGACGATTTGCAAAATATGAGTCTTGAAGTCAACCAGGAAATGAGAGGAGCTCAACCCAGCAAGTCAAAGAAGCTGTGAGTTGGCCAACCATGGTTTTGTGCAGCGGGAACGTGAACTGTAAGTATAGAGTTATCAGGGCTTATCAGAGCTAAGCCATGGGAAAGTCAGGTTGAAATGTCGCACGCCAAATGTCACTTCTGTATAGAAGGTGAGCGTGCCACAAGAGATATAGACAGAGAAGCAAACTGATATACCCTACCTGAGAACCATATTTATAGCACACATCTTGGGTATGTGTGAGATTTCACTTGGTCAAATGAAACATTCTTGTGCTTCCAGTATCAGAAAAATTATCATTTCAACTTGGGGAAAGACTTATACTTCATGTCACTTTTGCTGTAAAGTTTGCCGACGTTTGCCATGGGAAAACACAATAATTTCCTTACCCTATTTTAAGCTGTGAGCAAATTTCAAAAATATACATACACATACACACACACACACACACACACACATATATTTTTTTTTTCTTTTAAAGGAAATCATGTTTTATTCCAGTCTGGAGTGAGGATGCAAGATACACAGGAGGTGATGATCCCGTGTGGCCTAACCAACGGCTGTGTACACAGGAAGGCATTTCTAGGCCACCCTTTACCCGTTATATACCATTACTTTCACTGCTAAAGTGAGGAGGCAGTCCTTATTTTTCCTGTACTCAGGAATGAGGAAGGATATATGCTTCCATGAGTGACTCAAACTAAAGAGGTTTCATTTCTACGTGTGTGTCCCTCTACTCTTCCATCACTGCCTAAGACCACACACTTTGTGAAATTCATCTTCATTATCTCTTTTATACACTAACTTGAAACTCATCTTTGTTACCCCTTTATGGGTCAAATTGAATGTAGGGTAAAATTGCCCAAACCAACAAACCATTAAAATCAACACTTGTGATGTTTCTGCATGTACTGACCTTCAAGGTGATGCCTCTACATTGTTATGAAAGGCTTCCTGCCTCTAGGGAGAGAGGACATGAGGGCACATTCACACACACAGCCATTGCTGGGCTCAGGCCCTGATGGTGGTGCACCCTTAAAAAGGAGGTCTTCAGTAAAGAAATCAACATGAGTGTGCTAAGGTGTGTCTCCTAAATCCAACTGCTGTGGGACCCATGATATAATAACTCCTTTTTACAAGGACGTTGAGGGGGCTATCTATCTCATTTAAGGGGAATAAGCTTCTAGAAAAAGCATTTCATAAGAAACTTTATATAAACTTCACTAAAATTGGCTTTCTAGCTTGTCTAAGCAAGTCTACTATAGCACAGAATCTGAGAACCATGTTTTTTGTAAGGTTTTGGTGATTTGGGCCTATCTGTTAACATGTTTATTCTGAAACAATTTGAGAATTGTGCATTTGAACATAGACATATGTAATCCTGTCATCACCACTGATGGCTCTTTCTAAGGGAAATCACTGGTTAGGGCTTAAAGCTGCCTCCTCTTTCCCTGTCCTCAGCAATGTGAATTGTGTGTGTTGAATTTTGTCTTACAGCTGTGACAATGGTTGTTCTGAATCAGTACCAAGGCAGAATCTAGAACATTTCCTGTAAGAAATATTTGTTTTAAGGTAGCAGCTGTAGTAGTGACTGCATTGTTACCAGATTTTTAGAGATTTTAGAATCTCAGGCCTGAGATTCTGGGATGGGAAGGTAAGGAGAGAGTCTGGAAGGTGTACATTCTTGAACAGTAGGAGTTGAAGTGATTTTCCAAAGTCCTTACTGTATATAGAAATGTTGATATGGACCTGTTAAGAGTTTAACATCACTTGCCAGAGCAGAGACTCTGTTTACCTGTAAGTTTAATCTATAAATAAGAGCTATGTGCCTCAGAGGAATCTGGGCAAAGTTGACCTCTTCACAACTCTGTAGTTAGCAGACTAGACACAGGTGAAGACTAGTGTAGACAGATTCCAACTCTCATTCTTATTGATATGGTTTCAAATGTATTCACTAACACTGTATGGAACTATGGTAATATATAACACACATTTATCTCTAGGTTCAACAGTGCCATGACAACTTCCAAGTATCTTCTTAGAGTCAATTCTTTAAAAAACAAAACAAAATTTGCCATAGTGTAACTAATGTGTCTGGGCTGAGTCAAAAGAACTTTATAAAGATTTTCTTTTAAAAATTATTTTATGGTAGTGTTTCAGACCCATGTTAGGTGGCTTCTCAATAAATCTATTGTTAAATTTTTTTCATAAATTTAAGAAATTCTTCCCTAGTTATTAATAGTTGTTAGGTACGTTTGAGTAGACTGTAACTCATAGCAACACCATGAACAACCGATTTGAACCTTGCCCTATTCTGTGCTATTCTCACAATCTCCATCATGTGTAAACCCATTATTGTAGCACTGTCTTAGTCCATGTCAATGAAATTCTTCCTCTCTTTCACTGACCTACATTTCCCAGGATGATGTCTTTTTCCAAGGATGGGTCATCTCTTAACAACGTGTCCAAAGCATGTGAGATTTGTAATTATGGTATTGGAAAATAGTATTAAATATATTATGGACTGTCTGAAGAAGAAACAAATTTGTCTTAGAAGAAGAGTAATCAGAGTGTTCCCTAGAAACAAGGCTGGTGAAACTTTGCCTTACATAATTATTAACTAGCATCACAAATATGTTAATTCACTAATGGTAGAACAGACAGGTGCAAAGGATTATGGACTATGTAAAAAATCCATTTTGTATCAGAATAAATTTTAAATTATGTCTTTTGGAGGCCAATATTTATTAGGCTTGTTGTCCAGAAAAACTCAAAATGAAATTAAAAAATCCCAGCATGCTACTGAAAGCCTTATTAATTGGAACAATTCTCACTAGTTGATGATATCATAACAGAACTGTGCAGCCAGGGTACACTTTAGAAACAAGGATAGTGAAACTTTGTCTCCCGTATCGTGGACATGTTATGAGGAGGGGTCAGGCTCTGGAAAACGACTTTCTGCACGGAAAGGTAGATGGTTGGAAAAGGAGAGGAAAACTTGCAATGAGGTGCACCGATTTAGTGTCTGTAACAATGCGTTTAGTTAGATATGAAAGAGATTGTGAGGATGGTGCCGGGCCAGGCAAGGTTTGGATCTCTTGCACAGAGAGTTATTTAAGTCAGAGTTGACTCGATGCTACCTAATAGGACAATGAATCTTTAGTTGTACATAAAGATATGACTGCAAATAACATAGGGCAGAAACAAAGAGAAGATTAGATGATTTTAGGAAGAGGGGCTCCATGATTTTATTTCACCCAACTGTTCTTTACTAACAGGTCACCATGATGTGAAGTTTTCTTATAGTAAACTTTCAAATGTGATATCTTTAATTAGTGGTGGTGTATTACTTACCAAAATCATTTTTACAGAGAGTTTCCATTATGTCGTTGTCATCATCATTTTTATTTTTGCAGGCTTCACACACCTTTGGAGCTAGAAAGGTGAAAAACAGTCGTCAGTGAGTTTGCGGAAAAGGAAACAGCAGGTGGCGTTTGTAAACAATTCAAGGACCTTGTCCAGGCAGGAGTAGAGATTGTCCTGTAGGATTCCATCATCTGCCTCATTTATACCAGTACAACCACTCATTCATCAGAAAGTCTCCCACGACTCACTTTTATTTTAATAAAATGAGAATGTCTAACTTGTATATTGTGTTTAAGAACTGTGAATCCCAAAGAAAAAGGAAGTTGTGGATGATGTACATAGGAATGTTTGGCTATAGGTAAATGAGACAGATGGCCGCTCTTCATCTTTCTCTCCCCACCATGGGACCAACTGAGTCTCTGAAGAAATTATTTCCATGGACTCTCCAGGGAGAAAACACCAAAAGGTGCTGGGACTTTGAGGAATTTCAGCGAACTGATAAGCATGAAGTATGGGTGAAAGACTCTGTTGGCCACAGGACCCAGTGAAGTCTGTGCTGAGCTTTTCTGAAGAGCCCTGTGTTTCTGGGGAGCCATTTCAAGACTGAGAGGAATGCTTAGTGTTGTAAGATCCCATATGGGTTATTTCCACCTAGGAATCACACCTCACTAATTACAATAGTAGGCTCCAACTGGCCTATATCACCTTGTACTTTCTGGCCAAATTTGTGCTTGGGTAAGGGGTGCTTGCTTAATTGTGATCCCGGAGTTCTCTGTTACAGGTCTTTCTTCCTCTTCTTTGCCTGTTTCAAACTCTTAAAAAACAAGAACAGAAACTAACAAACAAAAAAGCTCTCCTTGAAGCTAACCAAAGAGGAAGTGGTTTTCTGGGGTCTGGCCAAATCTAGTACAATTATCAGAAAACCTACCAAAAGCTTTTCTAAAATGTCTGATTTCTAGCAGGGAAGAAAGGAACGAAATATCTCTCCCTTCTCGCAACTATAAATGTGTTAATACTATCTTTTAAATATGGTTGTAATTAGATTTTATTAATAGGAAATTCACAGAAAATTTTGTGACTAAAAATAGAATTGCCTATTAAGTTAGAAAAAAAATCACACAGCGTATTCTGAAGATCATAAACTTTTATTGTGAAAGGGAGATGTGTCGGGATTTTTTTATTGGTTTTTTTTTTTTTTAGAGAAATGCACAGGGTATAATGTTGATACCTATAGTGAAAAAGAAATTAAAAAAAATAAAAATATGTCCCACAGTCTTTAGAAATAGCATTTCCATTAGGAGCTAGGAATGTACATAAAATGTTACTAACCTGCACTGGTTGGTCTTGGGTATATGTTGGACAAATGTTTGAAAAATGCCAAACATTTGCAATAAATTAGAAATCTAACCAATAAGATGTTTGCAAATGCACAGTGCCTGCCAGGAAAGATTGCTGAGCAACTTTGCATTTTCTTTAACTAATGATGGCTGTAGGAAAACAATTAGAGATTGAAAGGGAGATGCTGTTGAACGCCCTGAAAGGGATTAGGAAGCCCCCTCTCCATCCCAGGGGGACCTAAATCAGCTCAGATGTATTGTATTCGGTTTCCTTTCAGGAAGAATATCAAGAGCCCATGAGGTTTTCATTGCTTTGATGGTTTTTACACAGGAACTCTCCCTCTGCTTTCTAAAGAACAGGGGAGAAACTCTTTTGCATGATTTTCTCCAGTTAACTAAAACCACTCTGAAGATAAAAGCTGATAGTGATACAAAGATGATTCTTGGAGATCCCTTTGTGTCCTGTGGACATAGCTCTTCTTCAAACACCTAAACGGTTACAGACTATACTAAATTAGTACGCTCCATTTCTAGGTCCCTCCGTGAGCCAGTTCTTGTTTTATGTTCAAAGCTTAATTGGCAAAGAATATAAACGACCTTAAAATTTGCATCTTGGTTATCTTGCCTAGATGGGACGTGATCAAAGTGGCTGAGCAAGTGTATATTTTATA